TGTGTGTGTGTGTGTGTGTGTATATATATATATATATTACACACACACATATATATATATATTAATGTTTATATTACTAACGTTTATTATACACCGAATACAATTGCTTTAATTGTTCCAACATTTTCTTTATATTGTGAACACAATATTCATATGTATTCTTTGTTCAAAGTTACAGAATTTTATTTTTTTCACTGTCCTAATTTGTTGTGTAGCGCAACAAAAAGTAGAATTTGAAATTACCAAAAACATTATAATTACCTTTGGCCCGTGAGCCCAACTCAAAGAATATGTTGGCCCTTCAAACCAATTAAGAATCAAGGATATATATGATAATTGCTACATATGATATATATATATATATATATATATATATACATATATATATACATATTTATATACATATATATGGATACATATATAAAGTTTACAAATATATACATTTATATATATAATTTGTTGAAAGGCCAACATATATATATATATATATATAGTATATATATAAGTATATAGGCCTATATAATGATAGTGTATAGCGTTGTTGACAGTATCCTTACCTTAAATCCCTGATATTGGTTTCATTGCGTTTCCATGGTTTCAGTAAATATTCGGCGATGTCGTGTATTTGGAAACTCCTCTCGTCCTTACGCGACATTATGAAACCACGTCTACTATATTCTACTTTTGTTGCTCTGAGAGAAAAATGAAATATTATACTTTTTAAACAACGTATATAAATATAGACAGCCTAAAAATCGAAAGGCGAATAGGCCTACACTATAAGTTAGTTACGACGACTATGATATTAAGTGTTTTATCAAGGTTAATCAATTTGTAATTAGCATATTTTTTATTAGTCAGGGAGATTTCGATTGCACGACGATGGTAGGACCATGGAGGTACATAGAACGTAATGACGTCACATAGTCATATGCGCATGCGAGAACGTTGAGCTCTCGAGGTCGTGTGGAATCTAGGATGCAATTTAGCGAAATCTACGTGTACGTGCAGAGAACGTAGGACGTCGGGTAGGACGGTCGCATGAATGAAATAAAAGAAAGGTTAACAGACATTGAGAATCAAAGGTTTTTGAAGAAATTAGGCAACATCCTAAATTAAAATTGTATTCACAAATTAAACATGAATTCAGAGCAGAGGATTATCTAAAAAATGTAGAAAATCACAGACATAAACAAATCCTTACGAAATTAAGATTGGGGATATTAGAATAAGAATTAGAAAAGGAAGATGGTATAATGTTAATAGAAATGAAAGATTATGCAAATTATGTTCGTTACAAAAAGTCGAAGATGAATATCATTTTACCTTAGTTTGCCCTTTTTATTTATATATTAGAACGAAATTTCTATTTACCTGTTACACAGACACTCCGTCTGAATTCAAATTTCTTAATTTAATGTCTACTAAAAATATTGATCTCATTTCAAAGTTATTAAAATGCTTATTTTACTCATTTAAACACAGAAAAGAATATTTAGATGCACTCTAATTTTGTTAATATCATATTTTGTATATTATTTGGGTCAGAGGCCTATGTGATTAATTAATGTTCCTTGAACCTGTTTTCAAAAAGAAGAAAATGAATCCGTTCTAGCGTCGCGTTGTCGCGCAAATCGAAAGCTCCCTGACATTGGGGTTAAGGTGGTAGAAGGGAAGGAAAAATTCTGCATGCTATTTTTAGATTTGCATTGAAGAGTGTGAATGGGTTTCAACAAGAGTAACAGAGATCTAATTAGTCCCAGAGGAGGATGGTTACATTATGACAGAACAAAAACAAAGTAAATGAAAATCATATGAAATGAATAAATAATACAATGCAAGCTATTATAGATTTAAAATATAATGCCGAAGGTCGGACGGTAATTATACTTTAAGAGAAAATTATAATCAACATGCAAATGAAATACTAATTGTATGTATGCTGAAAAACAGTAATATAATGCCGAAGGTCGGATGGTAATAATACTTTAAGAGAAAATGATAATCAATATGCAAATGAGATACTAATTGTATGCATGCTAAAAAAGAAGTGTAATAATTAGTTGCGGTTTTTTTTCATTAATACTGGAATAGAAATTGAGACGTCGTATAATGGAAGGGTGAAGAAGTATAGGTGGGTCGTGACAAAGTGCGAGCCAGCGAGTCATGCAAGCCAATGCGCGAGCCAGTCCAGAGCCGTATATATATAAAGAGTTGCGACATTCCGCTCCTTGGTTTACGAAAGTCACGTGGTACACACCGTCCATTTTGTTTCATAATCTTCCCGATGAACACATGCAAAGTATATGTGTTACGTACATTGCATATTAATTTCACACACTTAATTGGGTTTACAACTATATTTTATAATTAACTTCACTTAGTATGGACAGCGTATAAGAATTCATATATAATCGAATATTTTCGCGCGTGCGTACTCGCGTAAATTCCGTGCTCGCGTAAATGATTGAAATTAAAATTAGAATTGTTTTCAATTATCGTTATTCGTCACATTTTAATCAATGAAGACCCGA